GGGGGCCTCTGGTTGTCTAGCCACTGTTTCGTCAATTGGCGTTCTACGTCAATAGGCATGAAACTGGGCCTTTAGAGCCCTGGTCTCTTAATAGCACACTTCGACTTCAGGATAGCAGCAGGCTACGTCAACTCTAGTCAGCGCGTCTATTACGGGCAGGGTAATTCTGGTGCATTCCTAGGGGGTATGTAAGGCCAATCTAACCGTTAGCGTGCCCCCTAGGTCTGTTGCTGGAGCAGAAGTCCTGCAGGCTTTTGATCGTCTTAATCAGGCAAGCGGGCACATTTTTAAGTCCTGTGGATGGATGGCCAATGGCTATCATTTTTACTAGATTTCGGGGGTTGCCTTGGTTAGTATCCGCCTTTGGGTGTGACTTTTCAAGGTAGTCTCTACTTAAGGGGTGCCTGTGGTTTGTTTTGCAGTCTTTGACTCTATTTCTTACTGTAGACTACCCTTTGGGAAACTCAGTAGGGGCAATTGAATGGCTGTTGGCCGCCTTTTACGTTCTGCGTATTGGGCGCCTACAGCTGGGCGCATCTCAGTGTGTCCCCTCTTGGTAATAGTAAATTCCGCCCCTCTGGGGCTTCTTCGTGGCGGGCTTTGGCCGGCCTGTTAATCTAGGATTAGTTACCTTGTTAATTCTGCCAGTAGTTATATGCTTGTCTTAAAGATTAAGCCATGCATGTCTAAGTATAAGCAATTATACCGTGAAACTGCGAATAGCTTATTAAATCAGTTATCGTTTATTTAATAGTACCTTACCACTTGGATAACCGTGGTAATTCTAGAGCTAATACATGCTAAAAACCCCGACTTTGGAAGGGGTGTGTTTATTAGATAAAAAACTAATGCCCTTTGGGGCTCTTTAGTAATTTATGATAACCTAACGGATTGCATAGCCTTGCGCCAGCGACGGTTTATTCAAATTTCTGCCCTATTAACTTTTAATAGTAAGGTATTAGCTTACTATAGTTTTAACGGGTAACGGGGAATTAGGGTTTAATTCTGGAGAGGGAGCCTGAGAAACGGCTACCACATCTAAGGAAGGCAGCAGGCGCGCAAATTACCCAATCCTAACACGGGGAGGTAGTAATAATAAATACTAATACATAGCTCTTTAGAGTCTTGTAATTAGAATAAGTACAATTTAAACCCCTTAACAAGGAATAATTAGAGGGCAAGTCTGGTGCTAGCAGCCGCGGTAATTCTAGCTCTAATAGCGTATATTAAAGTTGTTGCAGTTAAAAAGCTTGTAGTTGAAACTTAGGTCTAGCTAGCAGGTCTGCCTTACCGCGTGCACTTGTCTGGCTGGACCTTTCCTTCTAGAGAACCTTATGCCCTTTACTAGGTGTGTTGGGGAACCAGGACTTTTACTTTGAAAAAATTAGAGTGTTTAAAGCAGGCCTTTGCTTGAATACGTTAGCATGGAATAATAGAATAGGACGTGCGGTCCTATTTTATTAGTTTCTAGGATTGCCGTAATGATTAATAGAGATAGTCAGGGGCATTAGTATTTAATTATTAGAGGTAAAATTCTTAGATTTATTAAAGACTAACTACTGCGAAAGCATTTGCCAAGGATGTTTTTATTAATTAGTAAATAAAAGTTAGGGGATTAAAGACGATTAGATACCGTCGTAGTCTTAACTGTAAACTATGCCAACTAGGGATTAGGCGATGTTTCTATCTTGACTCGCTCGGCACCTTACGAGAAATTAAAGTTTTTAGGTTCTGGGGGGAGTATGGTTGCAAGGCTGAAACTTAAAGAAATTAACGGAAGGGCACTACTAGGCGTGGAGCCTGCGGCTTAATTTGACTTAACACGGGGAAACTTACCAGGTCTAGATAAAATAAGGATTGACAGATTAAGAGCTCTTTCTTAATTTTTTAGGTAGTAGTGCATGGCCGTTCTTAGTTCGTGGAGTGATTTGTCTGCTTAATTGCGATAACGAACGAGACCTTAACCTGCTAAATAGCCAGGCTAGCTTTGGCTGGTCGCCGGCTTCTTAGAGGGACTATCAGCTTAAGCTGATGGAAGTTTAAGGCAATAACAGGTCTGTAATGCCCTTAGATGTTCT